TGAGAAGAGGTTACTTATTTCATTTGCCTATTGTTAAGAGATGGGTTATGGGATGAAGAGTTTGTATGGGTTAAATGAAAGGAGGTGAAGAGATTAGGGAATTGTTTATACTTGTCATGATGAGGGTGGGATGTCACTTTTTTAGGGGGGTTGTTTTATGTCGTTTTCTTACACCTTTTCTTCTTTTTTTCACTTGTATTCTTTTATTTTTTTATCTAAAACTTTTAATACAGTTATTGGAAAAAATACAGTTCTGTTTAATTTTGTTCTGTAAATGTGATGTCTTAAAACATGCCAACTAGATATAACTAAGTATTCAATTAAACCTCCAGTAAGACAGTAGGAAGAGAGCACAATAAAACTGCATAATCAAGAAAAGTTAGGCAAATAGCCATATTTATAAATATCAAGTAAATTTTCATTAACGTAATACTCCTGTGCATTTCCCACATCTGCCTCCCCAATTCTCTGGATCAGATGTAAAAATGAATTCAGGAGTCCATACCACCAACAGATCAATTCAGATCAGCAGAATGGCAACTTCAAATACAGCAATTAGTAGACAGTGAAGAATTGAAGGTGACTTGTTTTGGTTTTGTACAATTATATATATATATAAATAAAAAAGTCTTTTACTTTTTATGTTATATGTAAATTATACTTTTATATTATATGAGTCAGGTGGCACACAAGTTTAATAAATTATTAATATAATTTCTAATATATAATTATATAATTATATTAATCTTTAGAATATTTAACATGGCTCACTTTAACCATTACAAAAATTAATAGCTTTTATGAAGGACTCTCAATGCAGTCTTTCACATCATTAATAAACCCAGAACTTATATACTGGCTTGTATGACTTCATATATAGGTCGTCCTCAAGTTATGACCATTGATTTTCATTCAATGACTGTTCAGAGTTACAACAATATTGAATGAATGGACTTAAGACCAGTCTTCGAAGTTTCAGTCGTTGCAGCATCCCCGCAATCTCATGAACAAAATTCAGGTGCCTGGCAACCAGCTCACACTTATGATCAATTGCAGCGTCCCACAGTTACATGATCGCCATTTGCAACCTTCCCTGCCAGCTTCCCCAAGCAAAGTCAATGGGAAGTCAGCAAGGAAAGTTGCAGGTTACTTGGGTAAGTCTCCTGTCCCCAGCCTTTCTTCACTCACACACCCTGTACCCTTGTTCCCCTCTTCACTCACACACACACACCACCCTCTTTCCAGGACCACCCTCCGATCGCATACACCCTGCACCCTCTTTCCACGGCCTCCCTGTAAACACATACACAGGCACACTCCCGCGCCCTCTTTCCTCGGCCTCCCTGCGCTGACACACACGCACCCGTGCCCTCTTTCCCCAGCCCTTCTGCACTTGCATGCACCCCATGCCCTCATTCCCCAACCTTTCTAAATTTGTGCAACACTGAGCACCCAATACACTGACTCATGCGTGGGCTCTGTTGGGCCTTCCAGGGCCTCCCCAACCCCCTGCAGCACTCCCATGCTCCTTACCTGGGACTCCCTTCACTTCGCACTTAACAACCTGCACTTCTCGGGTTATGGGACTGCCCGGTTTGCCTGGATTTCCAGGCAATGCAGTCACATGACATCACACTTTACAACTGCACCACTTAGCAACAGCAATCTTAGTCCCAGTAGCAGTCATAACTTGAGGACTACCTATACAAATAAATAAATATTTTTTATCCTTTTCCATCTTGATGAATGTTGGTATTTTGGAGGGGTAGAGAAACATGCAAATACTCTGAATAATACAATATTTGCATGGGAAATAATGTTAATCTAGAGCAGGGGTTCCTAAACTTTTTGCCATCACACCTCCCTTTAGTGTAATCTTAATGTACACACCTTCTCTAAAAATCCAAACATCAAAATGAACACAAATAAACAATGAAAACAGTACAATGAAACTTTGGGAAAGGTGGATTTATTGTAACAGTGTACAACTGAAAGGTTCTTCACACCTCCTCTGGACTCTGCAGCTCCCTGAGAGAGGTACACATCACAGTTTGGGAAATCCTGATGTAGAGGATTGGATATGGGGACAGTACCAAAAAGGAACAGCTTTTTTTGAAGTTTTATTCTATCATTAGTTTCAATTTTATTCATTTAATTTCATTTATGTTAATTTTAATTGCATTTATTTAATATATTAATCAGCTTAAACTCAGTTAAGAGTGAAATGTTTAGTTAACCTTAAAAAAGCAAATAAGCCTCCAGTCAATAGGAGTTACTATGGAGCCCTTGTTGTTTGATTCCTAAGCCTTGTTCCTTACACATAGGCACAATTGATTTTTGCAATTGGTAATGCAGAGTTCCAGCTTGCCTGGGTGAGTAAAATTATCTTTTGGGTGTCAGGACGAGATCCACTGCTTTCCGCAAAATAATCATTGCAATGTAAGCTCTGTCCCTTTTGCGTGTTATGTGACATCACAATGCATGTACAGAAGGGCTATAGTTTGTGTCATGTTGACTCAATGTTGCTTTGTCATTTGCTCCCAACACAAGGCCCAAATAGTGCTGGCTTTCCACATGAAGTATAAGTACAGCACACTTAAAGAGTTTCTGGTTCTAGAATAACTGTTCTTTACAACAGCAGGTCTTCAGAGAAATGAAGAAGCTGTTAAAGAAAATATTTATGTTTCAGTCTGAACGACTTTTAATATTTCAGTATTAATTTTACAGTAGCTGAAATTAAAATGTAACCAGTTTTGTCCAGACGTTTTGTCCAGGGTTTTCTTTCTGTCCACGTTCCTTTCATTCCCACCTGCAAGATTTCTAAATTTGTATACAGGTAGTCCTCGCTTAACAAATCTAATTGGGACTGGCAGCTCCACCGCTAAGCAAAGCGGTCGCTAAGCGAAAATCACTTGACCACGACTGTGCTTTCTGGCTAGAAAGAGACAAGACTAGTCAGTTTCACACCTTCTGCTTTTGTTTGCCTCCTAACCCTCCCCCACCCTTTGGAGTACTCCAGTGCCTGCTTACTGTCTTCTACACATCGAAAGCAATGCGATTGCACCAGAGCCTGAGGCTGGGAGCTGCAGGTGCGCTATGAAAACAGCTTACAGTACTCTCTTGAAATCTCCCCCTCCAATCTTTCTGCTCTGTTGGGGGGGGAGCAAGCAATTTCTGTAGGCAGTCTCTTTTTTGCCTGGCCCTCCCCCTTCCCCCTTGCAGAGCAGAGAGATTGGAGAGGGATTTCAAGATAATAAACTGTTTGCTCTTCTACACATCAAAAGCAGGAGGTGGGGGAAGGGTCAGGCAAAAGAGGGATTGCCTAGAGAACTCACTTGTTCCTCCCCCCCCCCCAGAGTGGAGAGATTGGAGAAGGGATTTCAAGAGAGTACTGTAAGCTGTTTATGATCATCACATTGCTTTCAGTGTGTAGAAGAGCAAACAGCTTACTCTCTTGCAATCCCTTCCTCTCTGTAATGGTGATCACGTGATTGAGGGATGCTGCGAAGGTCATAAATGGTTGGAAATTGGCCATAAAGACATTTTTTCAGCACCATTGTAACTTCGAACAGTCATTGAACAAGTAGTTGGTAAGCAAGGACTACCTGTACAGTGTGATGTCCCATCCAAGAGGATGATCCAGTCCATACTTGCTTAGTTTCAGTAATGCCTTAGACTCATATGCTTCCAGGACTCCATGCTAGGAATTATTTTTTATTTTAACAAACAAAAGGAGACAAAAGCTATTTATTTTTTGGTACAAAGACAAATATTTGAAATATATAACAAACATGAGAACTTGTTTTGATTGGTATCTGGCCACTGTAATGAGGATGGTAAGATTTAATTATGTTTGATGTGTGGGAAGTGCATTTTTGTCAAAGCTTCAGCTTGTTAACAGGCAACAGTTTTAAAGGATGAAGCTAGTAACTTGAGATGTGACTAAAAGGTTTATGTCAACATTAAAAGAGAAGTTGTAAAGATGTATAGTTAATCTATATAAAGACAGTGCATCTGATTTTATGTTTGTCATTTAAGGAATGATTTATTGACTTCTGAAGTTGCCTTTTTGCCTTTCCTCACTGTTTTGCAGATAGTGGGTTCCCAAGTATTGAATATACAATATAGCTGCTGTTCTTCACTAAGATTTATATTTTTGCTGTACTCTTTTTCTACCTTGATATATAAAAGGCTTCTTGATAAATGTGGGAAGAGTCAGTACAGTTTTAGAATATATAATAAAATTTTCTCACTTTTTTATTTTTTAGCAGAAAATAAAGATTCTGAACTCATTTACTTTTGTTATATATCAGTAATATTTTAGACAATTTCATGCAGGATTTAAAGCTTTAAAGTCTGGTAAATGTTCATGATGGGACATTTAAATAAGCTGATATAACAATTTTTATATTCCTTATATGCATAATTTCAATTGCAAATTCACACAAGATAGTCATGATAGTAAAGAAAAGATTATTTTAAAGAATCATGTTGCTTGTTTGATAAGAAAAGTGACATTAATGAAGGAGGTTAACCATTTTCTTACATACTGTTTCCCTGATCTATAACACCCAGTTCCACAGAGGGTAAAAAATATAAATACGGATGCTAGATAGTTGGGCTGTACATGCTTTGAAAATTACTTGGAAGAGTTGCTTTGGAGCATGTGGGAGTATAGCAACTCTTTAAAATAACCTGGTTCTTTTTCAGGTTAGCCTAGAAATTTGGGGGGAAGAAGTGACTACTTTAAAAATGTTCTACAGTTGTACTCCAACTCATTTTGAACTACTTCTTTCAAATTCTTTTAGAACTACACATGATCCTACTATATAGTATTCCAGTCTATTCTTCTGTTGGACTTAGTTGTTTCAAAAAGCAGTGTAAATGCATAATTAATAGGGCACATAGGGTTAAAATTTCCCCTGATATCATTTTCAAAGAGTCACTAGGATAAGGAGCTAAACCAAATTTAGCTACACAAAATTTAAATAACTATCTTAACTGCTTCAGTTTTATCACCTAAACCCAAACTGTTCTAAAAATAAACTGATGGATTATTATCTACCATGACCTTCAAGACATTAGAATACCTCTTGGGGCGGGGGGACTACATCTCAGTGTGGTACCAGATCACTACTCCATGAATTTCCAATCTCCATCTACACCATTTGTTTGCAATAAAAGTGAGAAAAAAATCAAAGCCGAAGAGCAAAATTGGACAGGACCGCAGCCCATGGTGAATGTAAATATCCCATTGCACATGAACCCGGCATACATCTATCCCCACACATATATACCATTTCCTTTTTCAGATGCATTCATGTATACATTCAATTTACTCTCTTCCCTCTCTTATACCCGCTGTTCACATATTCTATGTTCTCTCCCCTCTCCATTCATACTCTTAATGTCTCTCTCTTTCCTTCACATACATTGTATTCATGTTCTAGCATGCTCTCTTTTTCTTTTCTCTCTTACATACGCTTATGCGCAGACTTCATTTTTTCTCTGGATGTTACAGACACCTACACAAAGTCAATTCACACTGTTTCACACAAATGCATGCCTGTTTCTTTACATTCAGGTGTGCAAAACGTTCTGTCCCAAAACATTCTGACCCCATAGTGGGACATTTTAACTGTAGAACAAGGTCTTGTGTTTAGAAGGGTATTGAAATGATCTGACCTTGAAATGGGTCACTGAAGGGTTGTACCACTTCTAGAACACTTGAGACCTCTTTGTAGGTTGAAACACTTTCTGAGGGAATTTTTTTATCCCTTCCTCCAGCTTTCTCTCGCACGTACTTGTATATATGTACCTATGTATAGTACATATGTACTGACAAGGAAAAGAGCTTTCTCCCTTGATTGTGAAATTCCCTTTTATAAAGGTATGGCTGGCATTCTAGTTCCTTTGATACTGGTATAAAACTTTTCTGTTTGCCCATGGATTTTCTTATTTTATTTGCTGTTTCTCCTTTGTTTCATTAGGATTATGCGTAATTTTTATTATATATTTGTATGTCTGTTTATGGTCATATTGTATCTTTCTGATATCTGTAAAGACATAGAGCAGTATAAAAGTATTTTTTATATAAAATGAAAGACTATATATTGTATATATTCATATACAGTGAGTATATAAAATAATTAAGTCACTGGATGAACAAGAGATTCTGTTGATAGTGTTTATTAGTCTTGGTGTATGCTTATCCTACTTTCACCCAAATATATACATGTACATGGATTGTTGTGCATGCATATTGTTCTATGGAATATCCCTGACAGCAAAGATCAGTATGTAAGTATTGGCTCTCTTCCATTAAGACTAGCAGAGTATGTCAGAAGATAAAGAATTTCCATTATTTGCTTTTTTTTTAGTATATTATTAGTCACCATAATGGCTTCAGAAGAAAAAGTGCTTGATTCCTTCAAGTCTTAAAATATTGTTGTAATTCAAAAGTGTTAAAAACTTTTTTCATATACTTCATTTAAAAACCTGTGTTTTATTTATTGCTAATTAGTAACTTGTTTAAAAACTTGGACTTTTGAATTGTGGATATATCTCAGCAAATTGAATTTTAATTAAGTTAATCTAAATAAAATCTTAATTACTTCCATGCTTCTGAGAGATATTTGGTTGGTATTATATAATACATTGAAACATTCTGGGGGGGTTTTCCCAACAGAATCAACGAATTCCATCTGATATGGTGTTTCTAAGAACTTCAGAAAAAACAGGTATGTTGATATTTTCCAATTTTACTTGGGTTCTTTGAAGTGTAGAGTTATCAAGAATATATACTAGTAATAACGAAATTTTGATTGTTTCTTCTTTATCATCTGTTATGTTGATCATCTGACATGATTTATTTACTCTAAACAGAAATAAATTCACAGGAAGATCTGATTATTTGAAATATTTTGTTCAACACTTGGATGAGAATCTGAATGCTAGAAGTGAGAAGCTATTTCCTCAACTTAGCATGCAGAAAATCAATTTGCATCTTGAGATACTGTTTCACATGCTAGTGTGCAATATGTCTTGCAGGCTACAAGCACAATTTGGCATGTTGAAGTAGGAAGAGGTTACCATATGTACTATACACTGTTGCCATCCTAGATTAGATTTAAGTATAATAAAGGTGAACATTTAAGGAACCCTTGCTCTTTCTTTTTTCTTTAGTGCTTATCTGCCCTTAGCCCTTTCTGTATAATCTCTTTAGCTGATCTTGTTGATGCTGGCTGGCCCAGCTGGCTTATGGCCCAGGCTTATGGCTGTGGGATTGATAAGGACCATACCTGGTCCCATTTCTTGGCAACAGAAGTATCTCCCTTGCTATGACAACAGAACTACAGTCATTTTTATCCGAGATGGGCAGCTATATAAATATGAGAAATAAACAAATAAACAAACAATCACTTCACTTTGTCAACTGAGGCAAATTGAAAGATGTTCCATCCTTTGTTCTGGTGAGCTGCAAGCATGGACTGCTTCAAAATTTGTTTGGTTGTAAGACCTCAAAATACTCATGCATATAGAACAGGTTCCCTTACCTCTGTGCCCTTCAAGTGTGTCTGGAAGCCTCAGTAATGACCATGGCAGATGGAGAATTCTAGAAGTTGAAGCCCATACATCTGCAGGTTAGGAAAAACAAATCCAGTTTTTTCAATGCCCTGATCATCAGTCTGTGGTACTGAGCAAGTTATGTGGGCTCTTTAGTATATTAGTACAATTAGTGTGATTTCAAATTCTAGATTTTTGCTGCAGCCCAAATGATACTTCAAAATAAAATAAGCCACATCACACTTAGTATCTCCTGCTTTTGAGTAAGGTTGCATAGAACTGAGCTACTGATAAATTAACATTAGAATGCATATATTGATACTAAAGTATGTTTTTGTACAGACAATATACTATGTGTGTAGTATCTTTCTTCACAAGAATTTTTAAAGAATAATTTCCTATAAGTAACAAATATAAGCCAATCATGTGATGTTACTTTTTAAAAATCGATTTGTTATATAAAACAAATTCTATTTTAAGACTGAATCACAACTCTAATCGTTTTTTTTTGCATGTTGTAATTTCGACTGATGAATGATGTTTTGCTGACACTAAGAGCTTCATGAAAACTCTCCCTTATTATTTTATATGTAATTTAAGCAGTTTAAAGAAAATTCACTTTATTTTTGTTTTACACTTATATGTCTAATGTGCAAAATATTAAAAGCAGGATTGAAGAAAATGTTTCCCAGATAAGGTTATAGTTTATTATAAATACAACTTCCTAGATTATGGTTTTCCAAATTAAGCATTAATTCCAAATGTACAGGATCTACCTAATTTATTTTAGAAATAAGATGTTTCCAAACCTATTTAGGTAAAATGTTATAAAAATGAAGACACATTTTATTGAATTAACAATTCTGTTTAATTGTTTTACTGTTATGTCTTATAATTGATTGCAAATTATTGTTTAGCACCTTTTTGCAGAAAAGATTTGACACTTTGAACTTCTGAAATTACACAGAAATGTGGTATCACTTTGCTGTTCAGCCATTCAGCTCAAGTGTCACCTTCTATCTCTTTCCAAGCAGACTGCTACAGAATAATAAGGCTGTAATAGTTGTGGCACGTGTTCTGAACATTCCTATTATGTTTAGAAACCATACATTCTAAAACCTACCTGTCTTGAGAGGAAAAAAAAAACATTGAGAAATGTATTGCTATAGAGAATGACAAATGACTAGAGTGAAGTTTTGCACATACGGCCAAATAAACTTTTATCTTCAGGGCATGAGTGACTGCCAACAATCTGTCCAAACTATTTTAATCTGTTTTCATAACTCAGTCCCTATTCTGGTTTTAACATTTGATTTAACTTAGGCTAACCGTGTTTTGACATCTATCTCAAGCCACTGAATACTGTTGCTTCTATGTGTTTCACCTATTGTTTCTGCATGAATCCTAATAGAGTAAGATTAATACAGTAGTAAATATATTAATACTAATGTATTTAACATGATTATGCTTAAATAATTGGTGTGGCTAAGGGGTTCAGCTACAAAGCAAAGAGGTCTTTGGTTCTGATTGTGCTTCTGCTATAAATCTGCTGGGTTTTAGCCATTTTATCTTTATCTCATTCCACTGTAATATCAGGTTCACATTATAAATTTTACTAGATTATTGTAAAAGATTATGGGTAGAATCCAGAGAGGCTCATTTTTTTTTTCTTTTAATGGTGTTGCATGAAGTGTTGGGCCACTAACTTCCTGATCTCTGAGTGGGCTATCCCAGAGTGCAGATGGCTATCCCATAAAGGAAAAACTAAACTCTGTACAGATGTATGATGATTAAGTGGTGGAACTGCCAATCAGAGCAAGGCAACATAGGGGACCTCCTTCCAGTTTATATTCCAGAAGGGGGGAGGGAAATAAGAAGAGAGGGATTTGGAAGGTATGTGTAGAAAGATAGGTCTGAGGGAGGCTCAGAGTCCTAGTCCAGGAAAACCTCCATCTGTGAGAGATACTAGATGAATATATTTGGTGCCAAGGAAAACAAATATTGACAGACTGTAGATGTTACAATAAGTGAATCAGTTTATAACCCTTTAAAAGTTATTTATTAAAAATTAATTAATTTGTTTAACAGTTACATCTTCCTCAGACAATTTAGTCATGTTCCTAAACATAAAGGAAAAGGGAAAAAAGCAAAAGAATTTCCAAACCATTGTGTCAGCATGACCAAGGGAGATATCCCAGAGTTGATGGGATTTCGCTTTAATTTTGAAAAACAAAAAGATAATATGAAAAGGGCACCCGCAGTAAACAGTGTGTAATAGCCAATATGTGTATACATTTGTCTGTGTAGAGCAAATAAATCTAAACAAACTATTTATTTATTTATTTATTTATTTATTTATTTATTTCATGTTATAGACCACTAACTCAATGTACTTTACAAATACCAAAAATACAACAGTATATTAGAAAAAAATCAACTTATAATCAAATAATCAAATAATTATTAGGTAGCCTGCATACCATTGGCTGGAACAGCCAACTCCTTAGCAGTTTCCTAAAGGCTAAGGTATTTGGGGAGTTCCATACCTCAAGAGGCAAGGTATTGCAGGGTGTGAGGACAGCTGCTGAGAAAATGCACATGGAATGATGATCTGCACCAAACTTGCTCTACAAGAATTCATGGGGCAGGCCAAGTCTTTCAGGTACCCAGGAGCCAAGTCATGTATGGCTTGTAAATTTATAACCATCACTTTGAATTGGGCCTGGAAGCAAATTGAGCCTGGAAGCCCAATTATACTTTACTAAGTATAATTGAATATCATCAGCCTATTGATGATAACATACCCCAAACTGACAAGTAATATATATGATAATAAGTGTTCATAATAAAAAGTAATACATAATATAATAATAATTGCTGAAAGAAGTGGGTTTGGGAAGAGATGGGAGGATGCTAACTTATTTTCCTTATCCTCACTTTGTAGTATTTGTAGCAAGAAGTCTAGCAGCCATTTTCACAATACTTCCATTTGGAATTATCTGCATCACTCCAGAACTTCATTGTTGCGGAGATAGGGGGAAGGATAGCACTTTTCTGTGTAGCAGTTCTCCTAGAGTAATACATTGGTGGTCTTTTGTTATTTCTCTCCTATCCATCTTTGTTGACAGCATCTTCGTTAAGGGCAAAAAGGGGTACAAAAGAAAGAATACAGATTATCTGAAATCTTGTTCCTCGTGAGTTTGTTTGTTCTTTTCTACACTGAAAGATAAAATATAAATGTGCAAAATTTTCCCATATAGGATGATGGATCTTCCCAAAGTAGGATAGGCCCTGTTACTGAGGATAGGAATGCAAAGGAAGTAGTAGACTACTTGAATTGAAATATGGGCAAGATTCCTGCATTAGAAAGCATCACTGATTATTGCCTGTATCTACTATTCTGTGTCAAGACAAGGTTTATCAATCTGCAAAAGTGTTTTTCCATGTTATCTTAAAAATTAAGTTCAGCAGAAATGAATAAAATTATTTTGAATAATGAAGATAGGCATTAAATGTTCTTGGCAGTAATGGTAAATTGAAACCTCAGTATTTTCAATGACATTAAAATAAATTTAATACAAGGCTGTTTTTATTATTGTTTTATCTAAATATATATAATTCTTTGTTATATTTTCTTACTGTTTTAACCTTTCAGTGGGATTCATATGGACTCTAGCACTTGTTTATTGTAAAAATTATTTACAAAAATATTTGTAAAATTTTGTAAGCATATCCAAATCAGCAATTTAATTCATCGATATTGAAATGTATGGAGAAATTAACTCATTACCAAGACTCATGGTGGTACATTTTATCAAGCTTTTTTGGGTTGGTAGGCATTTTTAGAATTTTACCATGAGCTTTCTCATTAAACAGCAGCTGTTGTGGACATAGGAAATCATAAATGCCGAAGTTGTTCCCTGCCATAACAGTAATTATAAAATGTTTTAAAACTATTAACTAGAAATAAGCTACTTACACCACAGCTTAGTATCCATATAATGCTAGTTGGTAATATGATTTCTTCATTTTTGAGTTAGTGTGATGTGCAGATCATCCCAGGAAGAAACCCTAGTTTCCAAACTAGAGGGGATGGGTTTGTATATCTGAGAAGCTAGAAAGAAGGAAAGAACTGTTATAACTTAGCTTTATATGAGCATCAGGTGTGTTTTTG